CCCTGAGTTTTCCTTCCGACAAACACCGGAAGGTCACGTGGCATAGGTCATCTGCCAAACATCATACGTATCGTCAGTTGAGTGCCATTTTGAATCGAAAGCCCTTTTGGTTCGAGCTCGTAGGTTATGTCGACCCTGTGTGTCTGCTTTCAACAAGCACCAGAAGGTCGCGTGGTATACGTTGTCTGTCAAACATCATACGTATCGTCATTTGACCGCCACTTTGAGCCGTTAGCCGTTTCGACGGATTGCGTGCCTGCTTTCGATGAGTATTGGAAGGTCACGTGGTATACGTCAATTATTGAATGTCATACGTCAAACGTTAGTTGAACTAGAGCGTCAAGTCTCAATGAGCACCGGAAGTATCAATAACGGCTTATATCATCGATCATATGAGAGCTGTCATCGGTCGAATGTCATATGTCATACGTCATACGTTGGCTATAATCTACCAAATGTGATATGTTAATCATGAGACACACAACCAGGTTTTTCGGATCAACCCTGTATATCATACTTCATCTTTTTATTGTAGTTGTGTTATTTCCATTCTTATCGGCAGCTTGCGGTTAGCTCGCTCGTTGTAGCATGATGTAGATTGCGGTTAGTGGGCGTGGCTTCCAACCAAATGCTGGCCTCTGATTGGCTAGCCGAGTCACGTGGTTTGGAGAAAAGTGGAGGAGTGGGGCTGGACTGTAGAGCTGGAATATCTACTATTGTATGAAAGCAGCTTGCAATGGGCGTAGAACGGATCGACCGAGTCAAGTGGTATGGAGAAGTTATTTTTCGAAAAATAATTTTTCCATTAAAAAAAAAGACGTGATTTCACCTAGTATGCGTTCTGGAGGGTATTATATATACATGGTGGCATTGAAATAATCCTTGAGTAAGCTCGACGTATACTATCTAGTGGTAACAAAAAAAAGGGATCAAAATAAAATTTGAGGTTAGACCCCCTTTCCCACCCAAAGTTCCACACTGTAGCAATTCTGACGTCACCCCTCATCAAATTTGCTTGTGTGAGTGGCGATCTTAATTTATTTCTCGTTTTTTGTTCAGTTTTCGGGATGAAATTTCTTGTTATTTAGAAGAATTAGGAAAAATCTGATATCATGGGAATATTCTTCAGACTGTATCATATTGATGTTCTGATTAAATGTACTAATTTCAAAAACACCTTGTATATACTGTCTGTAGGTTGATCGAGGAGGTGTTACATTCATTTTACTTGATCATTTAGGATTTTCTTTCCTCGTTTCTACAAAATGAAAAGATGAGTAATCTTTCAATATATCTGTAGTAGGACAAATCAGATGATTTGCCGCAAAATGTCACTGCGTTCAACAAATTTTTCTATCAGGAAGCTCAAAGGAAAAATCCAATAGCTTGTCAGTGACACTTAGTTTGGAAAAAAGTTTGAAGATGAGAAATATATGTAGATATTGAAAAAATATCGAATTTTTTTACACTTCTCAGTGTCATACTGATTTTGGCATATAGATGAGTGATGATATTAGTATACAAATGAGTTACAGGATTTTTTCATTAATTGATCTTGAATCTACCATTTTTATGTTCAGTTTTCAGAGTGAAAACCATGTTCTATCTATATCAACTGAACTGGAAGCAATGCTATTGTCTCCGTTCAGAGGAATGCAAGCGGATTCCTTCATTTTTCTCTTTTGGTTGTCATCTTCCTTTCCTATGATTTTAATATTATTCCACTCGGTCATAATATGTTGTCCATTTTCAGTAAAGATATGTTCATTTAGCTATGATTCATCGATATGTCTTTTCTCAATATTGTATTTGTGTTTTTTTATCCTTACAGAGAAAGGTCTCCTCGTGTCACCTGTATAATACTTTCCACAAACACAAAGTATACTATAAATACAATTTTTTGATGATTGTTCTTCATTTCTCGGTTTAATTTGAGTTAGAATTGATCCCATTGTTTTCACTTGGAACTTAAAACGTGTTGGTGATAAGTCTAAAACGATCACTTTTAGCCGTGTTGAGGAAGTAGAAGGTTTAGGAATAAGATTTTCTCATGAAAAGTTGCAAAAGTTTACTGTCGAAAATGCTAGGACAATTTGAAAGAAATAATGACCCCGGGAACCAAATTTCGTGCAAATAACTTTTACAAAAGGTATTTTTAAAAAACGAAAAAAAAAATCAATTTCAATACCCTGTATCTCCGAAACGAAGCTTTTTCCGGTCACGAGTTTATATATACTTTTTTCCTCAAATTTTTCCTTGAAATTGTCTCAGAAATACCTCACTTAAATATTTCAACGTACCTATGTTACACCCTGTATTTCATTTTGGAACACAGGCACCTTGAGTGAAATCGTATCGAAACGCTTAATTTGCGAACAAATAATGTTAATTAACTTTAATGCATGAACAACCCGGGAGGATTCTTTCATATATTATTTTTTTTCAACAAAATATATATACTGGGTGATAAATCCCGTCCTAAAATATATCACTACCTGCCGGTCTAAGCAAAGGCTGTCTCCATTGGGAGATGTGCTGAATGAGGACTAACCCATCACCAGTTGGCACTACAAAAACTAGAGGTCAATGTCAGAATAAAAAATCTCAAAATTTTGCTAGATAGCCCTAAAATCTATGGCCTGTTTTATCGAAAATATTCAAAAAAAATGATGTAGAATATTTGAACAAATAGAGAACCTCAAGTTATCGAGAGACGTGAGCCGTCTGAATGTGGAACTTTACGACAAATTCTTATATTGACGGAGAAGAAGATATCGTAGCAAAAGGCCATATGAAACGAAAATAAGAAGTACAGCTTGACCAGTCTAGCTTGGCCCCTGAGATGCGCAAACGATAAACAAAGATGGTTAGTGTGTGACAAAGATCCACGACGCCTTGTTATAGCTAAGTACAATTGTACTGTAATAATGAGCTTGGCCGTGAGCCCACCATGTACTCACGGCGTCGAGTGGGGTTAGCCTCAGGTGACTCCAGGTACCTCTGGTTAAAAACTTGAGGTCCCCACTCTTGTCATTGGAGCGGTACGTGTGAAAGGCCGCGAACGAACACCCTTTCAAACGGGACTAGAGGATTCCTGTCGACATGGGCTGGGCTGGGCTTGCTCAGCGAACACTGGAACTTTGGTGTACCTTGTGCCTTAGTTCGTCAGGGAGGGGGTAGCCCAAGCGATCCTATCGCCAGACATCGTAGGTAAAGTCGGGTCCTCTCCTGTAAACGAGGTAGAGGAACGTGTAAAAGTCCTCGAACGATCACTCATTCAACGGGACGAGAGAATTCTTGTCAATATGAGTAGCAATCAGGCCAAAGCCTCTTGCGACGGCGACTCATCAAACATAACAAGAGGAATCTTGGTGACATGGGTACCTGGGGTGATGAGGATAGTCCCATCAGGTCGTACATACGTACATACGACCTGATGTCTCACCAATTGGGTTGGACTGCAGGGGGCAGAGGTTTTCAAAAAATACCACCGGACTACGGTAGAGGAGATGAAGAAGAATCCCACTATGTGTCAAGTAGGGGGAAATCTTGCCTGCCTCGGCAAGTGAGCAGCGTTTCTGGCCGGGCACTGACACTGCAGAGCCAGTAGTCTTGTTTTATCAGACGGCCTCACCATTGGTATAATGAAATGTTAGTAGGAGAACATGGCGTTACATAACGAAGATGGCTCTAGCCAAGGCCTACTCTATCTCACCGGGCCGTAGTCTATCCCACCGGGCCGTAGTCTATTCCCTCTCTCTCTCTCGACGTTGACGTCACACTAGTAGGTTGAGATTTCACAACAGTTCGTAGTGGTGCGTTCGTAATTGATTAGCTATAGCTCATTTACTATGAATTTTAGAAGCACACTCAATCGAGACGAAATGATTCCCAACGAATTCCCCAACTTTTAGTAAAAAATGAATCCAATAGGATGAATAAATACCGAGTTCTGGCGTTGTGAAGAAATTCCATTTTATTGAAAACCAGGACGTCTTGGTTTTGTTCATGTGAACTCCACCTATTTTGTTCTTTTTGATTTTGATAGTTTGTAGATATATCCAAATCCAATTTTTTTCATGAATATAACGTTATTCTTGAAATATATACTCTTCAGCAGAAAATAATAAATACCGAATAGGCGTTTTTGTGTAATCGATAATATGGATAAGTGGAAGTGTATTATACCGATTTGTAGGCAATTAAATTTCCTACAAAAAAGTCAGTGACAGCATACATCCACAGTTGATAGGATTAGCATGGGAGGCGTCCGAACTTTTTGAACTATTCTGTAATGAACACCTGAATCATCGTTCTACTTGATATGAAATATCGGTTTGCTATTGGCCCTTGGGAATTCAACAATTGAATAATGGAATTTTGGTAGCTGTTTAAAAAAAGATAATTCTGAATGGAGTCAATTAATTTTGATATACGATATTTCTGAAACTAATGATCGTAAATCAATGAAAGTTGATTCATCTTCTGGAAAATTCTGTTCTGTACATATTTGATCTCCTGATATTTTTTGCTAACTGTAACCGTTTTCCCGAGGTACATCAATGAAACGGGAGAGATAATTTCCACTGCATTAATTTTGTCCCTACTAGTGTGACGTCACGAAAGCGATGCTCCGGCCCGGTGAGATAGAGTAGGCCCTGCTTTAGCGCGCTGATTTGGCGTATCCAAATCTTTCATTTCTCCCTGGGGTGTGCTGTCGGTATAAGTCGAGAGACAGATGACCGGCAGTCACTAGAGGAGTCTTGTGAAAGGGGTGGGACTTGATCTCACCCGTTGAACCAATTCCACGAAAATAATGAGCTCTCGCCCCACTCTGCCGACTGGTTTACTGCGCATCCAATTCTCAGAGGCCAAGCTAGAATGGTCAAACTGTATATTTATCAACTCTACCAACCCTGACCTCATGTTACGGTGGCGTGGTTTGGTGGATAATAAATAGGGTTAGCCCTCATTATATCACGGAAATTATGCGTTTGCAGCGCGCAAAAGGAGGGTTTCCTCTCGGAAGCCCATTCCGAAGAAGTGGACCAAGCCGATCCGTTCTACGCCCATTGCAAGATGCACTCGGACAAGACGTTGGTGCGCAAGCGCAAAAGGAACTACATGGCGCTGCAGCTGCGCACTCACTACAGGAAGGTGCAGTTCAACCAGGAGGGACACAAAGACACCACGGAGCAGGTGCGGATCAGGAGGAAGCTGGACAAACAGAAGGTGCACTATTTGGGACACAAGGCGCTCAAACCGCCACCGTGGGGTGAGTGTTTTTAGTATATCGAAATTCATATAGTTATAATCTATGGTAGAAGTCCATGGTATCTCAAATCTTGTTCATCCAAGTAATTAGAGTTTGATTAGGGCCCATCATGAAAATCATGGTTAACATGACGTGGTAGAGCGGTGAAGGGGGGGTGGAGTTTTAACTTGACATGGGATGCGTGAAGTATGTCTCAAATGACAAGTGACACAAAACTATCCTGTGGCATGAACGAAGAATATCAGGCGAGATGCGAGAAAGCAGCAGAGCCGTAATGAGTCACATGTCAAATGAATAGCAAACATTTTTACAAAAAATGTTTAAGAAATGACCAGGTAAACTGAGGAAGGATTCAAGATGAGGAAAAGTTTTAACCAAGAAGAATTCCTCGTTAGAATTTGAGGGCGTTGAAAAAGTTTTGACAATCAAAATTTGTTTGTTCATTCAAGAATATAATGTTGTCGTCTTTAATTGATTCATTAATTTCAAATATCTCTAATAAAAGAAGGGTGCCCTTATGGCAAATATGTAAACCTTCGACCTTGATAGACTGATAATTCAGATAATAAATTTGTGGAGATGATTTAGTGTGTCTTGCTTATGAATCATATAGTAATAATAATCCAAGTCGTCTGCACAACGTTTAATATCATCAATCATCAAATAATAAATAGAAAGGGGATATGTTTCGGATCTATAGAGTATCCAACATCAGCCGATTGAGAAAATTATTCTACAAAGAACAAACCAACAATAATAGGGTATCAATGGTAAAACATGGTACCACAGAACTCATAGACCTAGAAGGCTTATGCAATTGTGAGAAATCGCTGAAATCTGATATAGCCAGTGTGCTTACGGCAATGGTGATCATGCGCACATTGTAGGCAACATTGTCAGTTATATATTGTTATACGCAAATCTCATATTTATGCATTAAGATATAGTTCATATTTCCTACAAAACTTTTTGTAACTGATTATCAACATCTTACAAAAATCATGAAATTTTCACGACAAAATCCATTGACTCACTGATATTAATTGAATGGCTAACAAGAGATTCATGAATTATGAACTTCAAATTTCTTACGAGTTCATCTGGCAACTGTGTTAGAATGTGCCTCTGTCATTTCGTCTGACGTAGACTCAAGACAGAGCCGGATTAGTTTTAGTTTTTCAGTGTTCTATTTTGCGTTCAACGTCTTTCGTTAGTGAATTTGAGATTATTGAATAGTTGAATGGTATTTCACTCTAGTTTGGTTATGGGTGTAGTCATAGTGACAAGAACAGTACTCATTTGACATTCATTAACTGATTTGTGTACAGTGTTTTCAAAATGAATGACTTGGTGACAAGATAAAGAACAAATTCCAGAAAAGTCTTACTTCACTAAAATTTATATCAACAAAATTTGTACTATTATATATTCTTTTCATAGCTAAAACACACAATGACTCTTGTTTTAATTTGTTCTATAAATCAATTAGATACTTTGTATGCCATCAATGTTATTTCCGTATCTGATATCACAATGACATTCGTTGTGTTATTATTTCACAAAATCCCACCTCCTATGAAAATGTGGAATTTCAAGCCATGACAGCTGTGTCTAATAGAAAAGCATTACTTGAGAGAAAATGCTAATTTCCCAGTCGTATGAATTATAGCATACGCCTGTTGTCATGATTATATTACCAAAACTAAAATATCTGGCAAGAATTTATGCCTTGGTTCGAGATTCGAGATGCCACTATTCAGAAATTGAGTCCTGTTTTTTTCAAAACAACTGAACTATCCAATTTTAGAGAGGTCTCGTTTTTTTTTTAAATTCAATTAACTTGTAAACGAAGCTCCAATTCGAAATTCCACAAGAGTGTCTTCCTTTCTGAATTGAACACGGAATTTGGGAAATATCTCAATTCTGAAGAACCTAAAAGTGGCTGTTGTACCTGCCCCGCTTCCGTCCGTACTTCAAATGTCAAAAAGTTACTTCTTCTACCCATTATAATGAAAGTGGAAATCATGTCGAGATATCACAAATATCCAAACACGGTAATATATTGTTGTGACAGTGAATAGTTTTGTCCAAACTTGATCACGTGAGGCTCACAGCCTGTATATTCATCTAATTATAAGGCTGTTAACAATGAATATTACCTCGATTATTTGAGTTAACAAGTTTACTATTTTATGTAATAAGAAATCCTTATTACCTAATCTCAGCATTTAACCGTAAAGTAGTATATCTACTGTTCGAAATAAATATACACTAACCAAAAAAAGGAAGAAAAATTGAACATAGACGAGCTGTCTTTATGGATATTCGTTTTTCTTCTATCTCGTTCAAAAAAAGGGAAAGATAAATACCTTGTGTGTACGACGGCGTTGTCAATTCAACAATATTTCATACCGGCAACCTTGACTGGTTTATTTTTGATCCTCCAGATTACCTCTTGTTTTCCAAAGAAATCATCCAAAATAAAGTTAGTTGCTGTCATCAATCCAAAAAGAATGTATCGACCCCAATTGTAGGCCCTAAATAGGAAAATTCATCATAGTAGCGCTCACTATATATACAGGGTGGAGCATTAGTGCGTCGGAGCTCGGTTGCTCGAGTTCTATGACAGCTAGAAACTCGATTCAAAAACGAATGTGAATGAGACAACAAGGTCCATAACTAAGAAATTATTGCCGCATATACCGGAAAACATCTAGAGGGTCAGGATCACTTTTTTAAATGGAATGCCCTGTATGTTAGCACATTTTTTGAAGCATTTCTGTGACCCCCAACAAATCCTATAATATGTTGACTATATCTCGATCATTTCAAAGTTGTTAATTTTTTTGTCGAAATAATGTTATCTGCAAATGCATACCGAAAAGATCACTGTAGTCACAATTATGAAATTCCAGAGAAAATAATCATAATATCGTTTGATGGAAAGATGCGTCGTAATTCTGTAGAACTTTCATGCCCTCAAATTATTTTTTTTATCGCTTGGAGCGCACGAAAGGGAATCCCTATAATGTTCAAAGAACATCGTGCGTTCCTAGGGAGGATAGGGATAGGAGGTAGGTATTGGAATTTTTTTTTAACTTCTGGAGATTATATGTTGTTGGGAATACTTCCTCAGGCAATGAATTCCAGAGCCTAGCCGTTCTATGGATGAAGGAGTTTTGATAAAGTGCTGTTCGACATCTTTCGAGGTTGACAACGAAAGGATGTGCTGACTCGGCTTGTCTAGTTCGTCTGACTGGTATTGCTAGTGAAGGGATGATAGCAGAGATTTCCGAAGAACATTTCCCGTGGAAATTATACAGGGTGGCTAAAAATGAATTTTCAATTCAGAACTTTTGGAAGCGATTTTTCTCGAGTTTTTCAAATGGAACACCCTATATATTTTTAGGTCATTTGGTGAAAAATCGAATCACGAACATCTTTTGTCTCCACATCTATATTGGTATTCGTAACCATTTTTGAATTATTGAACTTATAGGTTGGCCATTTTCATCGATACACATTCTCATCAGTTATTGAAACATCAAAAGGCCAATTAATAATTCAATAATCTTGATTTTTTTATTGAAAGAATTGATACCAGAATCAAAGCAAACAGAAATAGTACATATGCTAGTCATTCACAAAGTGAAAAAGAACAAAATTCCCATTTTGCATAATTGTGAATTATTATCCTGGTTTTGTTTTTGATGTGCTATAAAATGGAATATTTTAAAAATAGTTTTTTTTTCTTTTTTTACTCTGAATTACTAGCATGTGAACTATATCTGATGTTTGATTTAATTCTGGTTTCAATTCTTTCAATAAAAAAATCAAGATTATTGAATTATTAATTGGACTTTTGATGTTTCAATAACTGATGAGAATGTGTATGGATGGAAATGGCCAACCTATAATTTTCGAAGTTCAATAATTCAAAAATGGTTACGAATATCAATATGGATGTTGAGATAAAAGATGTTCGTGTTTCGATTTCACACCAAATGGCCTAAAAATATATGGGGTGTTCCATTTGAAAAACTCGAGAAAAATCACTTCCAAAAGTTCCGAATTGAAAAATCATTTTTAGCCACCCTGTATGATTTGAGGACATGAAAATTCTACAGAAATATCACACATGTTTCCATCAAAAGATATCATGATTATTCTCTCTTGAATTTCATAATTGTAACTACAGTGATTTTTTCGGTATGCATCTGCAGATGACATTATTTCGACAAAAAATGTAATAACTTTGAAATTATCGAGATATATTCAACAATATTATACGAGTGGGTGGAGGTCACAGGGATGCTTCAAAAAATGTGCTAATATATAGGGCATTTCATTTAAAAAAAGTGATCCTGATCCTCCAGATTTTTTCCGGTGCCCCCTGTATATGCGGCAATAATTTCTAGTTATAGACCTTGTTGTCTCATTCACATTCGTATTTGAATCGAGTTTCTAGCTATCATAGAAGTCGAGCAATCGAGCTCCAACGCACGTAAAAACGTAACGTAAAAAAAATTGGAGGAATTCTATATACTAAAATTGAATATCAAGTGATTATTAATTGAATGAAACTTACAGAATTGTGGAGTGTCGCCTGAAGTGGTAGCAATTGAAGAGTTTTATTTGGTGATACTTCCGGAATTTGATCAGTAGCTCAATAATCCAACAAAACTTCCAGAATTATCCTATGGAAATTCCAAATTTATCCTCAAAATTTGAGTATTGTAAACCTGCAATATAAACAATGGTTTTCCATCATCTCACACAAAATTGCTAGTTGAAGTGGCGCAGTTTCTTCGATACACTTCTACCGAAACGTATTCGAGTTTTTTTCCGTTTCACAAAAAGTAGCAAGAAGTCAGGATAAACAAATTCCTGAGCATAGGCGCGCGCGAAAACCTGCGACAATTTATAAAAGATTAAAAATAAATGTTATAACAAAGATAACATTTAGATTCATTCGTTTTGTAACTACCTAATCTAGAATT